TCCGTCGTCCAAAATCCCTTTGGTTCTCGACTCATTTGCCCCTCCAATCACCAGTGCCGTTAGGCTTAGGGTTTCGGTGTTCTTCACCAGATTCCGGTCGATTCCGACAACGAAAATCCACTTGGACACCACCAATGCAACCACCGTCTCCAAATCTATAAAACCCCTATGTCCCTAGCAATCGTTTCGTCGTCATTCACCGGTCGAGAGTTTGTGTTCATCTACTGTTTTTCGATGAAGTGGTGGACAGCAAACGGTGAGCTGCCGTGGCTGGAAAGGTTAGGGGTTTTGTAGGGGAGGATGCAAGGAGTCAAATGGTGGTGACAAGGGTGATTTTGGGTGAAAGAATTGCCGAAAAAAGAGCGAAAAACATTAGAAATGCCGACTGCTAATGTGCGACGGAAGACTGTTACAGGTGGTGGTCTGCTAACGTGAGCCGTCCATGTAAAATGACTAATTTACCCCTTTACCGTTACATCAAACGTTTTTCCATCACTTTAAGGGTGAGAATCTGGAATAAATTGAACCTATGATACTAACTTGGGATTTCGTCAAACCTTGGGTCAGAATATGTCATTTACTCTATACTAATTAATCATATCATGCAATACCTAAATCGTGTAGTCACCAGTATGTTTTGTTATACTCATCCTCATGTTTTATACTTTAAATTTTAAACGATATGTCGAATTACGCTAAATTACTCTGCAACTTCACAGCATGAAGCTACGTAGTTTGAGTATGGTTAGTCATATCCTATATCCACATCAAATGGCATCTTTCTATAAAGAATTTGGTATGTGCCCAAATCAAAGGCATATATAAGTATCGTTATATCTATCTAGGGTTTGGACCTTGGAGTACCCAAACCTATAGTTATCATTAAGATGTAAAAATATGATATATTTGGGGAAAAAAAAAATTGATACCAATATATAGTATCAAAGGTACTGCAAGTCAATATAGATAACATATAGATTTTTAATTAATTTTAGCAATAATATTATACATACAAAAAAAAAAAAAAAAAGATCTGAATCTCAGATCTCAACTGATATAGTAGCTATTCATGTGAGTACCACATGAATTGTACCTTTTTGTGGTGTGATATTGTGTTTTCTACAACTCATGTGGTGTTAATACATTAACAACCATATCAAATAAGATCTCAATTTTGTATACGTAATATAACTTTAATTGAAAAAAATAGATGACAAAGAGAAAAATCAAACGTTAACCCTAAGTGTTGACTTGACGATCAAGAATGTTTGCTCCTTTTATTGACTTCCTGAATTCAAACCACCTTGAGACCACCTATTATATTTGTGATTTACCTTGGAACACTGGATTTATAGGGTATTCAATATGCTTTGAAAATTAGTCGAAGTACACATAAGTTGGTCGATACTCTTACAATATTCTAGATTTTTTTCTTATGAAAGTTTTGCCACGTACAAAAGTCCCTCTCTCTCTCTCCTTCTCTTTATTTGTCTTAGGTTATAATATTCTTTTTTTATTTTCTCTTACTCTTATTATCATAGGAGGAGAATAGAATGTGACAAGCCATGTGAATAATCTGACTCCACTTACCTAATAATAAGAGCCCCATTGCTATAAAGCTCCAAAAATAATACTCCAATTATAAGTATGTATAGCCATGTGGCATTCCATGAAGACGTTTTATGTTTTTTCTTGGCCATGCATCACCCTTTGGGGCTTTACAAGTGTCCTTCCCCTTTCCCTTCTTTTGAGTACTTTTTTTTTTTTTTTTAACAATATTTTCTAATTACAAGATCGATAATATTTTCTTTTTCTAAGTTCTTTTATGTTTATGATTTTGTTTTTGAACTTCGCGAATTAAAACCCCATCTTACAATGAGGTATCCATCAAAATTGTCTTGCTATAGTTATAATAAACAATATAGAATTATGTTATATAATATTACAAGTTTTATGTTGGCCGTAGAATAACAATGGACACTTAATACTCGGGTTTATTTTATTCGCCCCTTGAGTAATACTTAAGTCAACAATATCCATCGATCATTAAGGTTCTGTTTGATTCACTCTTCCAAATAGCATTCTGTATTTTTCCAATAAAGTTAAATAGTAAAATTTGCTTATTATCAAAATATTATTCTATATTATTCAATTTCTTTTAAACATCCCTAAATTTGTTAATTTAACTAAACACTCTCAAATTTTTTTTTTTTAGAAATTGTAAAAACATCCTAGCTACTCACATTTACCAAATTTTGGCCACCATCGTTGGAATCTGGTATAATGGCGTACTACCGGCTAAATCTGGTTGGTAGTGCGCCATTCTAACATTTTCCTGCCAGATCCACGGTGGATCTGGCCTGAAAATACCAGATCTATGGCCAAAATATGGTCGTCGTTGACCATCAATGACGGCTGTATCTTTGGCCGTCGTTGACGACCAAATGCAACCAGATCTAGTTATAGATCTAGCATTTTCCGGCTAGATCCACTGTGGATCTGGCCGGAAAAGGTCATATCAACACACGACCAGTAAGATCCAGCCAGTAATGTGTCGATACGGCGACTCCGGTCACCCTCCGACGGTAGTAGCCGGCTATCCGTATTTAATGGGTGGATTGGGGGTGTTTTTGTTAACTTTTAATATTTTATTATAGTGGTGTTTAGTAAATAAACAAACATAGATGGTATTTTTGTTAATTTATAAATCCTACATTGTATTACCCACTCAATTTAACTTTTTTTAAAAATATTATTCTAAAAAGTATCAATATAATAAACTAAACGGACCCTAAAATTCAATATCAATGAACAGTATTTTCTCTTTTCTTAACGTAATTTTAAATTTGTGTCGTTTTTCCATAACTTTCTGAGAACATTATCTGCAAATTGATAACATCTCTTATCAAACATATTGGTAATTAGCATTACAAGTTGGAATTAATATTGACACAAAAAGGGTTAATTAATTAAAAATGGAGTTAGATTAGAATAAGATTTAAGAGGAATAAAATTACGTAGGGATCAAAAGGGAGATTCGAAAAAGGGCACATGGTCGCGAATTAAGGCTGAGGGATGAGGGTTGAGCCTCGGGTTTATTACCATTGTCATTTTGTGAAGCTTACAAACACATCACACTGTGAATTTCTCTGTCAAACGAGTGAGACACCACTTTCTTCATCCCTCTTGATTTTCTCGATAACAGATACAACAAAGCACAAATTCCCTCAACCTCTTTTCTTTTTCTTTTTATTTGTCTTTTTAATCCAGATGTTCAGACCAACTTACTTACGCGTATTTCAATTAATCTTTAGAGAAAATTAGCGTAACAACCCACCCACACAGCTCCCTTGAACAAAAAATCAAACTTGAGATCGTATATCTATCCACACTATCCCTAATTTGCCCTAACCATCTGGACTATCCACGGATGAGTTTTCTGCCAATGCCCAATTCTTGATTATGACGTTTGATCACTTTCTCTCATAATACATAAGTTTTCTGATGATTGTTGAGTATGTTCTACTATATACTGATAACTCATAAAAATAATAAGAGAAAAAGAAAAAGAAAATTAAAGGATGGATGGTTAGCTTAGCTCTTTAGAAATGGCACATGGGAATGTGAAGCTTTTGATGTTAAATTCATAGTGAAAGGGTAACAAGTAAAACAAAGTGTACGGACAACATTTGTATATGCAACCTGTCAAACTTTGTCCCTTAACAAACTTCTGTACCAAATTTGACTCTCCTCTTCGTAATCACCACCACCACCACCACCACCACCCACCGCCACCATGCATCATCATCTCGAAATTTTTCATATATACATCTATTTCTCTTACAGTACATTTAAATATTCTCCAAATGATCGTGATAGATGTGGGTATATATATATAATGAACAAACGGTGTCGTAAATGTTAAAAAACAAAAGTTTAGAGTTTTTAACATGAAAAAATTTGATTGAATTTTTACCTTTAGATATATACAAAAGGCTGAATAAGTTCAAAAAATAGAAAGGATGAATTTTCAATTGGGTCAATACATTTCCTTCATAAGAAAAACATGATATTGAAAACTTACCGAAATTGGGTTTAACTTATCCCGTGAACCATCCATCATTAATTCCAAGAATTTCAAGTTTACGTGATACTTGACCAGCTAATCTTTTGAACAAAGTTTTGAATGTTTTTGTTTTCTTCTCTAAAATTGAAATACAAATTGGTACATGTCCTTTTTTTTTTTCACATTTTTATCACAACTATACATTCAATTTTTCTACCCCAAATTATTTTTGGTTTGACTAGTTCATGATTTTATGTCTTTCCCATATTTTACATGTGGAGGGCATATAGTTTCGTGTTTGGTCATTCAGAAATTTTCCGAACTTGTTCGAGGATCTTAATCTCTATGAGAGCGAATAACATTCAAATTATAAACCGAACAGTTTTGGGTTTGAATAACACATAATTCAACATTTTATACAAATAGTTGTTTCTTCGAACTCACTTAGGGATTCAAACACCTAACTTTGTGAGAGCGGATGACATTCAAATTGTTGACTGAACAAATTTGGTTTGAGTAACACAATATTTTACATTGGGGGTATATTTATATTTGATCGATCATTCATGAATTCTTCAAACTTGTTTTCAGGTTCGAACACTAGGCTCTATAAACCCTAGACTTTGTGAGAGCAACCCACTGGTCAAATTATTTGACTAAGTCATCAATAATTCAGATAAGATATTTTAAATTTGACTCGATAACATTATTGAATTGGTTGATTTAGTTATAATTATTAACTAAATATTTGCCATCTAGCTAGAATTTATCTCAAATTCTCTAAAAAAAAATTTACCAATTAAATTTAGAAACATATCCTCTTTTCCAACTTAAAATGAGAATTATTTGATCTCTTTGGAGTAATGCATATTTTTGTTTTTTTCTTTTTCATAAAATAAAAATAAAAATAAAAATTAAGGAATTGACAAGAAAGGACAATTAATTAAGAGAAATAACATATATATACTTGCAAGTTCCATTACATGATCCAAGTACAAAATTGATGAAATCAAGAGACTAGCCAACAATTTGGCTTAAGCCTCTTTACATTCACCTAAGGTCAGTAACGGAAATGCTCCGATCGAATTCGGAAACGAAAATAAGAAGAACGGAAAATGAAATCCCGCCGATGTAAATATTAACCGTGCTAGAATTACACGTGATTAATTAATTAAACCACGACCGTCGTCAACCCTATTAGCGCCCTAATTAATTAAAAATATGTATTTATAGATAATCTTATTGTTAATAATCCCACCATCATTAATCTAAGAAAGAGGAGCCCTCTGTGGAGCTCCCTTTCTCCTGTTGCTGAGGGACAGAACAATACCAGGGAGAAAACCCTTTTTCTTCTTATTAACCACAACCGGCGCATGTGAAATCTCCGAACTGCCCATGTTGTCATTGGAACACGAAGAATTTTGGTACTGCAATGGATCCTCCAGGATGGAGTCGGGTGTAATTTGACCATCGTCGTCGATAATCTCCGAACCATCAACTCTTAGTCCCTCGAATTGTGAAATTGCGAAATCGGATTCATGAATCTTGAAGAGAATGCTTGAAAGATCTTGCCCTTGGTACACCATGTAATCAACCTATATATGTATATACATATACCAATTTGTCACATTTCAAAGTTACTCAAACACATTAATTATATTTAATTGATCAAAATTTAAAGAGAAATTCAATAACCTTGCAAGAAAGAGAGCAGAAATGGAAAGATTCCTGGAGAATCCTATCACAAGTGAAGCACATATTGGCAGAGCCCTTACAAGACCTGGATTGAGGCCTCTGATTCAGGAATATAACCTTGGCATGGTTAATTGTATAGGGCTGCAGCGGCCGCCACCACCACCACAACACAAATTAACATTATCAGCATCATCGGTTACACATACAACCAATCAATAAGAGACTAACGTCACCATAAATTACTAGTACCTGAATATAGGAGCAGTCGATGAGCTTCTCGAGATCGCCTAATCGGACAACGTCGTGGTAAACATAGCGTCGCACCTGTTAAATGAAATTGAAATTGAAAAAAAAAATAAATAAACCCAATTGATTGAAAATTAGGGGAAATTAAGTTTGGCTGTTTGAAATTTAAATTTGATAGAAATTTAGGTGAAAAGTTAGGCTACCAACTGGCCATTCTCATCGTAGAAAATTAAATGAAAGGAGTTGGGAACAAGTAAATAATTAATTAATTTTTGCAGTACGTTATGAGAATAGTAATTGAAGTAATTGAATTGTGAAATATTTTGAGTCAAAGTTTCACTTTCTTTGAAAGCAACAGGTCAGGGAGGGTTTGCAGGAAAAAAAAAGGATAAAAAAGAAATCTTCTAAATATAGGAAGAGACCATCTCCAAAGAAGTAAGAATAATATAAGACCTGAAAATTAAACATTCTTGAAGACTGGAATACTGAAAAAAAAAAAAATAGAATTTAATAAATTGATAAATTCTACAAAATTAACTACTGTAGCCAGATTCCCCTCCTTTCAGTACTGAATTTTTTAGCATCTAGCTCATAGATTTGGATGAATATTATTGAAAAAAGAAAAAAGTTTCACGGAAGAAAGTAATTCAACAAAAAATTGAAAAGGGTATGAACTTGATTGCCTTAGAAAAACTCAAAAATTGTGTTGAAAAATCAATTTAGAAGAGGTTTAACTAAATTCCCACTTTAAAAAAGGAGAAAAAATTACATAAATTCACTGAGATTCAACAAACAAGGATTTATCAGAAATTGAGGAATAGAGGGGTGAGTTTGAGGAAAAAAAAAACAAAACTTTTAGCAGAAGAAGAAGAAGAAGAAGAAGAGAGAAGTGAACCTGAAGGAGTGGATGAGAGCAATGAGAGGGGAGGCAGTGGGGGCAAATACTGAGGCAACAAAGAAGGCAAAACACGTTCTTCTCATTCTTCCTGCGGTTTTCATGGAAGCCACAAGCTCCAAAGAAAGTCTCATCCATCAAACCTTGAAGCCATGCAGGCTTATTCATCCCACCGCCATGAGAGTACTCGTCTCTTCCCATATTTGAGTGAATTTTATGCAAGTTTTTGGAGCAAAAGTGAGGTCTTTTTTCTCAGGTTTTTTTGATAAATTTATAAGCAGTAGCTCTACCTCTACCGCTAGCTCTTCCTCTAGCTAGACTAATGTTACTTAGTTTGGCTTCAACCCCAGGTGATTTTGAAAACCCTACTGAGAAAACAAGAGTTGCGTTAAATTCATATGGTGGATATAAATGAGTGTGTGTATATATAGTGTAATTCTATCAAATTTATTTGGTGGATTTGACGGAATTCTTGTCGTTTCTAGAGAGAGAGAGAGCAGGTTGAAGAGAGAGAGCAGGGGATAGAGGACACTGGACAGTGACTGTGTATTGTAATGTAATAAATACCATATACAGTTTTAAAACAGTACTAGAAACTACCCTATTCGGTTTTGGTTCTTTTAGCCTTTAGGGGTTGTTTTTGTTATTTTAGAAAGTTATAGGGTTTTCTTGTATAAGGAGTTGATTGTGTTATTATTTACCCCTAAAATTTAGTTCTATATCCAAGTCATGCATTTAAAATACTGGGATATACCTCCTCGTTGTAACGAGCGTTAAAGAATAAATAGAAATGTCACGGGATAAAATATGGGCTTTTAAAACTACGATAATATCAAAATGAGACGTATTTTGATACGTAAACAGTAGAAAAACTCGTCCCAATTAAATAATTATGTAAACACTTGTCAAATTTAATAGGGTAAATCTTAGTATTTCTAAAACGCAAGACTAGACTATTTGACCAAGACCATTGGAAAAAAAAAAAAAGTCTTTCTCTAAAAGAAACTGTTGAAGGACAAATTTCATCCGTTACTCTATCAATATTCTTAAGTATTACATCGATTTTCGAAAACCAATAAAAACTTAATGAATCCCCCACAGTTTTAAAACATTCTAGAAACTACATTTTGAACTTTGTTCTTTTAGGGGGTGTTTTTGTTATGTTTGAGAGTTATGGGGTTACTTTGTAATTAGTTTAACTATAGGAGTTTATGGTTTATCTCCTTATATGAAGAAAGCTTTAATTAGAAGAACTTGGAAAAAAAGAATGTTTGATAATTTAATATGAATCTAAGTTGCAATTAACTTATACAAAATGATTTCAATATAAGATCAACGGAAAAAAAATTAAATTTAAATGATGAGATAATTTTATAACTGCTTACGGTAGTTCGTTTGAGGAGTTTGTACGTGGAATATTTATCTTTGAAAATTTTAAGTATGTTTTAAAATTAATTTTGAGAGAGACAAACATAAAAAAAATGAATAGTAATTTGTTCTACTAATTTGAGCACTGCATTCTTTTATTCTTGCACTGAGCACCCAACTTTGTTACTTTTACCTAATTGCCCTTCTCTCCTTTGTTTAATCTTTTTTACGATTAGGCCCCTCTAATCTCTTCTCTAATAAATCTGATTCACATCCTTCAATAATTAATGAGATTTAATGATCATCAACATCATTAATTAGATATTTATTTGAGTCCTTTACTTCTTTTTGCTTATTTCATTTAGGGTAATTTTGGGATTGTTCAAAGTTTGAATCAAACATTAAGATCAACAAATACGGAAATAATCGGAAATGAATCTTAATAAAAGCGTGGAGAGTGTTCAAAAAAGAGGTATCGTCACCCCTATTTCCCAACCAGCCTTGTGTTTTAAATCATATTGTTGGTCGGATAAATTGATATACTATTTATATACGATTATAACTCAATCTGAATACATCTAGAACGTGTGATATCAAATATCATTGAGTCCATGGAATTCAGAGAACTTCTCAAATTCATTTTTGACTATTAACATTTATTTTAACTTGCTCGTACCGTAATATATTACCATTCAGAAAGATAACGTTACTCTTACACTGTAGTATAACCCTAGGGGTAAAATGACCCTTCGTCCCCAATTTCCAACTATTAAACCTAGAAGGGCCAAAATTAGGTACAATTTAATTGAAAAAAATGCACTCTTTTGAATAAAAATATTGATAAATAGTGTTATGGGTGTGATTATTTGTGTCTTTTCTAACTTTGGGTACCTCGATTTCAAAGCTTGTCTTATGAATAAAATGTCCTTTATTTATTTATTAATTTGTAAATGATGTTTGTTTGGTCTGTCTCCCATTTATTATTATTTTTTTATTTTTTAGTCAGATTATATACGTGGTCTTTCTATTTTTATTTTATTTAATTCCATCGAATTTCTAAATTTATTATTATTTTATTTATTGAATGACTCAAAACACCAAATTGTAGTCTTCCGGTCTAATAATTTTGGGAAATGGGTCATACTATATTTTCTGTTAATCTAATAGGTTTAAGGGTTAATTTCGGCAATTAATTACACCATTAATTTATAATTTATTATTAATAAATCTAAACAATTAGAATTATTGCTCTAATTTTTTTTTAAAAAATGCAAACCGACCCGTTATTTATTGTTAATAAAATAAAATAAAATAAATTTTTATAAAAATAAATAAATAAAAAGGAAAAAAAAAAAATCTTGACTTTTGTAGAATTTGGGTTTGAATTGCACATGGAAGGCCAACCATGTGCAACAAGCTTTCCCAAATATTCTCTTAAAAATTTCTAAATTATTTATTTTACAATATTATTTTTGTAAGGTTTCTAAAATGATTTTTAGTTTTTTTATTTATTTATTATTTTGAATATGTAATTGGGACAAAATTGGTCAATTAATTAGGCAGCAAATCTGACTAGACAATTGTTTTTTTGTTTGATTGGTTTCTAAAAATTTGGAAATATTCATTGAATTCATTTAGATTTTAATATATAGTTTAGTAATTTTATTGATAATTATATTAGCTTATTTTAAAAAAATGTGAATAAAACAAATCTCAAAGTTACCAAAAGAGGCGTATTTATTTATTTTATTTATTGGGTTTTTTTTTTCCTTTTTTAAGAATTAAAGCCTTCTAAGTAAAAAAAATTACTAATATTTGTTTGCAAAAAATATTATTGTCCCCATTTAAAAAATTCTTAATTTTACTTGATTTATCAAATTCATTGATTCTTGGTGATAATATAAATTTATTATACATTTTTTTTAAATAAATTAAGGACTATACGAAGTGGGATCGAGTTAGCACTAATTAATCGAGTAATTCTATTATCCAAAATATTCATAAAAATTTATAATAAGGTTGATTTATTATAATTATATTAGTTATCACACATCCCATTATTTACATAATTATGCCAACTAATTTACTTTATATGGAAAAATAATAATCAAATAATAGAAAAAATATTGTAACATAAGTGACAATATGAACAAACCATAATGAGAAATATGGGCCAACTAGTTGGGCCCAAACACGTTTTTTCAATCTGCAAAGCCCAGAAAGGGCCCATTGGGCTCACATTGTTTTTCACAAATTTAACTTTAGGTGGTAAGATGGAAATTCCTTAAGATATTTATATATTTAAAATGTATAATATTAAGTTATATTTGTGTATAATTTTATAATTATAAATAATAATATGATATTTAAATCAATTTAACTAATAAATATGATAAAACTATGAAAATGAAATGAATGAGACTAGGGCTAATAATATTTTTGGGATAGAAATTTTGATATAAAAATGTAATAAAAAGAAATAAGCAAAATCAAATATTTGAATATGTATCATCTTAAGTATTATATCTCATTATGTTCATAAATTAATTAAATGGATGAGATTTAAATTAATTTCTTTTATTTATATATAATTAGTTCTAATTTCTTTAAATAATATGATATATATGATTTACCTCCAATTTGATCTTAAAACCATTCAGAAATGCAAAACTAAAATTTAATGTAATGCAACTAACTTAAACATAGATTAATTGATGATTATTCTTGGAATTAAATTAAATATAGATTAATTTTTCTTTTTATAACACATATAATAATTTAAAATAATTGATTATTTAAAAGATTATTATAAATGGAATCTCACCTTCTACGTGAATAAGATTGCTTTTTGTTTTTTTCTCTGGGGGGTGGGGGGAAGGGATTAGATGATGCACAATATTATTGGGTGCATTTGGCTTATTGTTTTTATCCATATTCCCAATCCTATTCTTCAAATGATGTTTGGCACGTTATTCTCAAAATATTAGTCTATTTTTAATAACTTTTAGACCCCATAAGTTTATTAATTTCATAAATACCCCCCAAAAAAAGTTTAAAAACTAACAAAAACACCCCCACCACCAATACTTTCCAGATTCCGGCAACCACCGCCGGTGGTAGCCGGAATCTGTCACACTACCACCGACCAATATATGTGGTTATCCAATTTTTCGGACAGATTCCAGCGGTGGTGGTCGGAATTTGACATTGCGGGTGGTAGGGGTGTTTTTGTCATTTTATAATATTTTAATATATTGGGGTGTTTATTAAATTAGCAAACCTTGGGGACTTTTTTCATACATTTTTAAATTTTATCTCGTAATACTCCCCTATCCAACTATCCAATACTATCCCCAAAATCTTACCCAAAATAATAAACCAAACGCACCCATTAATATTATATGATAAATTAAATTAATACATATAGTTTTATTATAATATTATTAATCTAAATACAATAATTTACATGTGTTTAACAAACTTGAAAATTTGGAGGCACAAAATAATGCATAAAAAAACACCATCAACATTAATTTATATTTAAAAGAAAGCTTTAATTAGAAGAACTTGGAAAAAAAGAATGTTTGATAATTTAATATGAATCTAAGTTGCAATTTACTTATACAAAATGATTTCAATATAAGATCAACGGAAAAAAAATTAAATTTAAATGATGAGATAATTTTATAACTGTTTTCGTTAGTTTGTGTGAGGAGTTTGTACGTGAAATATTTATCTTTGAAAATTTTAAGTATGTTTTAAAATTAATTTTGAGAGAGACAAACATAAAAAAAATGAATAGTAATTTGTTCTACTAATTTGAGCACTACATTCTTTTATTCTTGCATTGAGCACCAAACATTGGTACTTTTACCTAATTGCCCTTCTCTCCGTTGTTTAATCTTTTTTACGATTAGGCCCCTCTAATCTCTTCTCTAATAAATCTGATTCACATCCTTCAATAATTAATGAGATTTAATGATCATCAACATCATTAATTAGATAGATTTGAGTCCTTTACCTCTTTTTGCTTATTTCATTTAGGGTAATTTCGGGATTGTTCAAAGTTTGAATCAAACATTAAGATCAACAAATACGGAAATAATCGGAAATGAATCTTAATAAAGGTGTGGAGAGG